ACATTGAAACAGAAACAGAAACGGAAACATTTTTTTCAATATAGATTATAAATAATACTTATTGAAACTCACTCTTTTGTTTAATTACCACTGATTTGAAAAAAAAACCTCTGTCCTGGGAAGAACCAGCGAGAAATCCAGCGGGACTTTTTTTAAATAATAGCTTACAATCATGTCATCACAATTAACCACACAAAACAAATTAGAAATTCCTTATTAGCGATCACCTCATTCCCAGGTGTTATTCTCATTCATAAATTCCTTAATATTATAATAAGCATATTTACAAAAACTTTGTTTAATAAAGTTTTTGAACTTTGAGCAGTTCAAATTTTGTATATTTTCTGGGATTTTGTTGTGAAAGCGTATCGCCCCAAGAATGAATTACTGACTTGGTGGAGTCGAGTAACTAGTACTACTAGCTTGTGTCTATTCCTAGTATTTAAAGAATGAATATCACTTATTTTTGTATAACTACTTTTGTTTTTGTGTACGTACATTTTCATAAATGTATTGAGATGCCAAAGTTCATATATTTATTTTCTTAAATGTCTGTCGGAGCGACTATTTAGCTTTTAAATCATAGATTGCTCTTATGGCCCTCTTGTGTAAAACATATATAATTTCAGTGTCAGTCGCGTGTCCCCATAGCAAAATACCATACGACATTATGCTATGAAAATAGCTAAAGTAAACAAGTCTAGCTGTTTCCACACTGGTAAAATATCTAATCTTATTTACAGCATATGCTGCAGAACTAAGTCTGCTTGCTAATTTTGATACATGGGAGCTCCATCGAAGCTTCGCGTCTAGTGTTATTCCAAGAAAATGGTACTATCGACAAGACTCAGTTCCTCCCCATTTAAAATGATATTAGTATTTAATTGTTTGAAATTTGAAGTCATGAATTTCATACATTTCGTTTTAGTGCCATTTAAATGCAAGTTATTAACATTTAACCAATTTACTAATTTAGATATATTATTTACTTCGTCATATTTTAATAATTGTCGTTTTAATTTGAAAATTAATGAAGTGTCCATCAGCAAATAATACTATATTATGGTTATCCCCTACTATGTAATTTAAGTCACTAATATATACAAGAAACATAAATGGGCCGAGAATTGAGCCTTGAGGCACTCCCATTTGTACTATCGACCCAGAAGAGCTCATACTATTAATTACAACTTTTTGCGTTCTGTTACTTAAATATGAAACAATTAACTTAAGAGCATTACTTCTTACACCGTAATGTTGTAGTTTCCTGATTAATGTTTCAAATTTAAATTTCATACATTAATCAGGAAAATTTAAAATTTGATCAAGAATAATGTTTTCAAAATCTTACTAAGTGTTCGCAGTACAAAAATTGGTCTCAAATTGGGGAGGTCTAATGTACTGCCAGATTTGAATAAAGGTTTTGTTTTACTATGCTTTATTAAATCAGGAAACACATCATATTCGATACTAGTATTAAAAATAATAGCTAGTTGAGGCTGGACTGGTACACTTGTTTTCATTGTTGATGTTTTAATGTTTTCAATATTAAAACTCGTTTATATTTATATTACTTATAAAATTTGGGCTATTTTGGTTAATTTATAAAGAACAAGGGTGTCTGGAAAAAACGTAAGCTGAACATGGGTACACAGTAATATTTGTAGATTGTTCTGCAGTAGTACAGAAACACAAGTCAATCGCCCCACGTCATCGGCTATTTGAATGGAGCTACGCGACTCATTGCGTGGCGCACGACATTATCTAGTTTCAAGTTTATAACGAAAGGTACAGAGAATAAAAATACACACAGAAATTGTATTGGAATGTTTAAAAATGAAAGTTGAATTACTTTACCATCAGCTAACTGCAGGTTGTTTTGGGAGAACGAAAAAAATGATAAGAAAGACTTGAAGTTTGTATGTAATCATTTTAGTTGACATTTCATGTAATATCTGTAACTTTAAGAGTTTTGTCTTGATCCTCCTGCAACCGTAGCCGAAGTCAATATTTATGCAAAACGTACATTGCAGGTTTTCGAGTGTATTATTTTCTTATGATTGATTTGTACCTGCACTTAACATCCCTTGTGTAATTACATTGCATTAAACTTGTTCCCATGGTCAAAACCGACAACGAGATCATTATCACGAGATCAACATTGCCGTAAGTGTTGTTTGTCCAGTTAATAACCTATAGTTTTGTTGAATAGCAGGAAGATACGTCAAGTTACATTATGTTTGTAACTTATCTAAATAGAATATCATATTAAACAAGGTTATCCTTATAAGTGTTATGTTTCGTTTAGAATTAAAGTTTTCTTAAGAAGGTCAATTTAAATCTACTATTACTATATTCTGCATATCGTACTTGATATTACTATTATAACCTTGTTATAAAAGGCCACAAATATTACATTTATATTTTATATTTAAAGGCCAGGTCAAGAGTACCCTAAACCGTAGAGCATGTATGAAGGAAATAATGAAAGTGGACGAAGCAAAACAAGTATGTAAGGATCGTAGCAAGTAGAAAGAAGTGGTCTCTGCCTACCCCTACGGGAAAGAGGCATGATTATATGTATGTATGTATGTAAAAGTGAATTTAAAAGTTGAATGCTTTCTGGCCATGTTCATACCATAACAATTCTGTTTACGCGATATTATTCACAATTTTCAAATTAGAATTAATTCTACCTGATGACATGAGCAAGGTGTCTGTAGTATTAAACTATAAACAATTACTAATAATTAGTGTCATAAATAGATTAGACGCGGGTGCATACGTAAAATGAATCCTCTGTAGTAGAAAAACCAATTTTAGTAAAATTAAGCTAGGAAATGTACACAGTTGGAAGTGAATGAATAAAATGAAGGTAGATCCGATTTCTTTCTAATATAAGATAAAGTTTGTAAATTTTGTTTTCTATAGTACGATGAAAATACTTTTCACTAGAAAAAATATTTTTAATAAATACTTTCCATATAGCAATAAAGGCGCCATATCAGCTGGGTGCAGACCTCCATTAAACTTATTTTTTTGGAACAAATGGGGAAAAACCTGCTTTGCAATTGCAAAATGCAATTCCAAATCTAGTGTGTTGTGATGACCTTCTTGAAAATGGTCAACATGTACTGATGATGACAATTTATTTCTTTAAAATAAAACTGACCGCTCGCTATTCCGGCCTGCCACAAAATGCGCTTACAATCCGGTGGACTGTGTGATCGTTTGTCACCCTTATTGTATTTAAAAAAAGATACTATATTCGAGGTATTGTTAATTATATGTGACATGATATTGGCTTTCGATATAACTGACCAAAATCTGTAGACACATTTGTGACCGTGAATTTAAAGCAACAGTAGTTGCTTGCGATCGCAATTTGAAGCTTTGGACGGAGGGAGTTAAATGTAGGCAGAAAAACTAAAAAGTATCCGTGTGTCCGAGTTTAATTATAAACTAATCGTAGCACAATAATTTCTGGAAATATTAGTAATATTAAGAGCGTTACTGGTATTATTTAAAAGAAAAACAAATCATGATAACAATTTAAAAAAAACCGTCATCCTGTTAAAATCCTATTATTTATATAAAAAAATTCCATAATTAAATAATCTGAAAAATAATAAAGTATTTAAACAAAGATCTGTCAAAATGATCATATTGTATAACAGTTAGAAACAATCCCGTTTACTAAAATCCGACAAGAGCAGCACCGATGAAATTAAATTAGCAAACTTTGTCCGCGACGACGTTCAAAGGTCACATTAAAGAATTTTCCCGAACGAGTGAGAGGTGAAAGTTCATGGTAATATTAAATTATCATTTGAAATATTAATGAATCGTGCTTTCATAGCAATTACTCCAAGTGGTACCGCGGCGATCGCGTGCCGGTCCCTAAAGAAAGACTCGATGCCGTTGTTTTGCCGTGTTTGGGACATTAGCGTGGTGGTGCTATTCCGTTGCTCGGATTCAGTTCTTCCAACGTTGCCAACAACTTTGATAGCGATGTCTCAAATAAGAACTTTTTTAAATTAAAGGTTGCTCGGAATACGCGGTTAAGCGCAGACTAAAATTACTTCCAAATAGGTAAAGAAATAAAATTACAAATAAATTGAGGTTGTTAATGTTCCAAAAAGACTAAGTTCAAGGAAAGGTAGACAATTTTTATCATATTAGTGATATAGTATTGTCGAAATAAATTTCCTGGTAAAAGTAATAAATCATTTGTCTGATAATACAAGTTTTGTAATGGCGGTGTAAAAATATCCACTTACTTATATCAATGGTGGCTGTCGTAAGATACGATAGAGGTAAACTAAAACAGGAGAAAGAAATCAGCATGTTCCTGATAAGAACTCAAAATAATAAAAAATGCGGCATCATATCCGTCTGTTAAGTGTGCTAACTACTATTTATGTCACAATCCCCTCTATGAGGCAGTATATGGGAGAGGCCTGTGTTCAGCATTAGACTTTTATATCCTACTAGCGATTCGCCCCGGCTTCGCACGGATGATTTCTGGATCTCAACAATAGCGCCACCTACCGGATCCAAATGTGAATCCAAACCATCTATAGACCCATCCAAACACATAAAAAAATCATCAAAATCGGTCGAGTACTTTTTGAGTTTTAGAGAGACTAACGGACAGCAATTGATTTTTATATACATAGAGATAATCGATGGAATCCAGAATGGAGAATAGTTAATATTAATAAATATCAGCTCAGAAAATTTCAAAATTTAATTTTGCTGAGTTTTGTATGGAAACAAAGCACTCCATATTAGTCCTCAAGGGTGACAACGCATCTGCATTTTGATTCTTAATCGCGGGGTAGATGTAGACGTCTATGGGCCATAGCATTCACTTACCATCAGATGGACTGTGTGCTCGCTTGTCACCCTTATTCTATAAAAGAAACCTTGTTTTTTTTTAACATTTTGATTTGTTTGCTTTGTTGACATCGGATTGTATGTTTTATTTCTCTTTTCAGCCCACCATGCTTCCATTTGCCATTGGAATACGCTAAGTTGGTCTCGGAATGTTCTCGACTACGGCGTGCCGAAGATGGTTCAGGATCTAACGTTGTCTGGATACATAAGCCGGTTGCTCAGAGCCAGGGGCGTGGAATATTTCTGTTTCGGGTATAATGTTTTGTTTAATCCTATTTTCCTAAGTTTGCCATTCTAAAGAAAAATTTCACTACTAAATGACGCTACGGGGCAACTGTACTAAAACAAACTTCAGAAATGAGATAAATCTAGTAGAATTCGATATTTGGAAATCACAATGAAGATTTAGATAATTTAGATTAGGAATGAAGGATAACTGTTTTTATCTTAGGAGCGTTAGCGTGTTTGAAAATTATAATTTTTGTCCTTTTGCTCTAATTTACTAGGAAAACGTCAAAATATTAACTACCTACTTACAAAAATTTCTTTTAGTGAAATGTAAAAAGAATACTAAACTTTTCCTATACAAAAAAAAAACCTTTGTAGAATTACCAAAGTGCATTATGAATATGAATGAACACTTGCATTTCAGCGAACAATACTTTTAAAGAAGAAAATCACCGGTTTTCCTAATTACTAAAGTAAAAAATTTATGGCAAAGCACATTTATAGTTCTTACTTTCTTTCTTTCTCAGCGCCCTCTGTTTTAACTTTCACTTGTATTCCACATTAAAAAGAATACTACATATTTTTGAATAGCGTCAAAACGTTGCTAACTTCAATATTTCGTATAGATGTTTAGGTTATGGGAAAGCAGTTAAAAAAAACGAGAAATTTCATTTTAATTAACACAATAAACGTCTGTATTTCACAAACTTAAACCTATAAGGTATGATTGTAAGGCATACGGGGACTCAAAAATATTAATGGACAATCATAATTTTTGTCTGGGATCCCTCATCTCCGTATATCTCTCCCACTTAGGGTTGCCAGATGGTCGGGATTCGTCTGGATTCTCCCGACATTTTAAATGATCTCCAGATTCCCGACAAAACTCAAAATCTCCAGACAAACGGCTTCTCGGAAAGTTCTATACAAAATAATAATTTAAAATTGCCACGTGCGATCACATTCTTCGTCGTCATGTCCCGACAAGATGGCTCTTTTGCCCACTTTAGATCATTAAATTTACTGTATTGTTAGTCTACTGTAAAGCAGTATTTTATGTTGAACGTGGAAGACGAATGTCGAAAAGAGATATTTATATGGGTGTTTGTACCAAAAAGTAAAAGCCATATTGATAATAATAGTGAACGGGTTGACCAATGCAAACAGGAAGGGGATTTCAGAAGCGTATTTATACTCTGTACTTTGTAACGTAATATTGGAGTTCCAAGTAGCAATGTTAGCATTGGAAAGTGCTCCATGCACTGCCCTAGAACTTGACAGTGTAATGAAAAAGTAATGAGTCATCTCAAAAACAGGTTGGATGGAAAATTCTTAGGTAGTAGAAAAATAACCTTATTAAGGAATGTTTCTAATAGAGAAAAACCCTTTTTTGCATCAAAGCTGAACATTTTTTAAAACGAGCTATTGAATACTTTTCTGAGAACTCTATATAAAAACTCGCTGTGTTGTTTTTACAAGGTTCAAATTTATTTACGTGGGAAGAGTTATCCGTATTGCCTGACGTACTAAATATTTCAAACGATATTGACTTTGAAACACTTGAACATCTTTCAAAAAACAAGGACATGTAAAATGACAAAATTTGGGCATTTTTTTAAACTTAACCAAAACGACCTAAAACTTGAATAAAAACCGGCCAAGTGCGAGTCGGACTCGCGCACCGAGGGTTCCGAACAAATCCATAGGTATGTAAGTTTAAAATTATTAAAAATATTTTAATTATGTGATGTAACTAAACAATTTTACTTTTCGCAAGTTTTCCTTTATCTGTACTATAAAACGTTGCTTCGTACCAAATTTCAAGATTCTGAGTTCACGGGAAGTACCCTGTAGGTTTGGATTCCCTTGCGAATGTCGAAAATTTGCGGCATAAACGACTGTAACTTTTGATTGAGTTGGGTTAGAAGTTTGATTTTTTTTACAGCTCCAAAGGACAGTAGACTTGAGTATTTGATATGAATTTCAGCTTGATACCTCCACGCGTTCCTGAGAAAAAGGGTCTTGACAGACAGACAGACAGACAGACAGACGGACAACAAAGTGATCCTAAAAGGGTTCCGTTTTTTTCCTTTTGAGGTACGGAACCCTAAAAATAATATATCATTTGTGTTGCCGATTCCTATAAGCAATGAATACTGTGAATGGGTGTTTAGTTTGCTATATAATTTATATACCAAGGAGAGGAATCGTTAGTAATTGAATTGAACTTATTTCAAGTAAATTGTTCGAATTTTAAATCATTTCTGAATACTACTAAAGGACATAAAGTGGGGGACTCAGTAAAGTCCAATGCCAAATACATGTGACAACCTAAAATTTAAGTGTAATAAAATTGGTTATATGTCAACAATGTTAAGCCTTTTTGTAGCCTATTAATTAAAAAAAATATATATATTTTACGTTTTTATTTTTTATATTTATTTCTCCCGACAACAACCCCAAAATTCCGACATTTTCAAATTTTGTCCAGATATTATGGCCTTCCGATCTGGCAACCCTACTCCCAGATGATGACAACTAATTTACCCAGTCATGTATAGCATAAATCATAGAAGTCATTTCGTATTTCAGAGCGTGTGTGAGATGCGATGCGGTAGTGCGGCAGTAGTGCAGCGGTACATAGAACGACCTCTGTTGATAGCTGGGTACAAGTTTGATCTAAGGCTTTACGTTTGCGTGCCTGGTTATCGCCCTCTTACTGCTTATATGTATGCAGAGGGACTAGCGAGGTTTGGTAAGAAAATGCAATCCTTTAAAACTAATCAATACCTAGAAATTTAGATCTATTTGTTAACTCCTACAATTCCCACTTGAATATATGCGCAATATTCTTTAAAAAAGGACATTTTTCAGCACCATACTAAAATGTAAGAGGTTTTGTTAAATAAGTTAGGGACCAAGTCGGTCTAGGTATGTACGCCTAGCATAAACGAAATGGTTATACCGCCATCTATCGGAAGTTATAAGACCTTTCTAGCATATCGCATAGTCGCCTCTTATTACAATGATATACGCGACCTTTTTTGCCACCAGGGCGGTGCCACTAAGTAATGAGGAAATATTCGACAAATTTCGTTGCGGGGGAAGTTAATTTGTTCGGTAAATGTAACGGTTAATGTTTTTTTTTCTGAAATATTAGTTATATTTTGTATTAATTAGATTAGAAATGGAAAACCAAACGCGGATACTCCTAAAAAAAGAAAAATTAATAAAAGAGAATTAAAAATGTGCCAAAATTAAAAAGCAAACCAGTGGAGCATTGTTTCGTGTATTTAGACACTCTAGAAATTGATAAAATTTCATTTAAGACGCAATATTGACAATTATAAGTAATAATATTTTGTAAAAAAATAAGGTCATCTCACTCCCAACTAACGGCATCTGGTGAGAGTAAAATGATTAGCTATCATTGCCAGTAGTTTGTAGTAACAATAAAACAAATTATTCGTTTTCGGATTTTGGTTGAGTTGCGGTTGTCCCCGTGTCTCTGACAAGGTTGAATACCCATTTATGACATTATATCGGCTAAGGATTGGTTTAACTATACTCCTGTTTGTGATATTGAATCGATTACTGCATGTGAAATACGAATACTTTTACATATTTTATCGTAGCCAATTTTAACTTGAAGTAAGGGAAATAATTCAAACTTTTCAAAATATTTACCTTATCTGTACGCAATGCACATTATTTAGTGACCGAAAAACCAATGGCAACCGTTTTGTGGCTGCAAACTCATCATACCATGTCGGTTGGTATTGATATCTAAAAAAAAATAAAGTAACCAGTCCTACCAGCAACATGAGATCTGATTTTTAAGAAGGTTATATTGATATTATTTTTCACAAATTTTTCAAGAAACATCTTTCACAACTCTGTAGCAATTAAAATAACGATCGTTTTCCTGGGAGCTATGAAGTTTAAGAAGAGTTACCATGTCTCTTTGGTCACTATTAAGTAGTAATTAATTTGATTTGCAATACTTTCAGGGACTGACAAATACACGCTGTCAGATATTCACAATCCATACCGACATTTGACAAATTCATCGCTTAATAAAAGTGGACCAAGATATGCAGAATGCAAGGACAGAATTGGCAGTGGTTTGTAGTAACATTTTATTAATACAATTAATGTAATGTCCTTCAGACCATACTTCAGTATTGGCAGCCAGAGATTTATAGGAGTCTAGCTATCTACGTAGAACAGGATTATACTTCTTGGGTTTGTGCGCAAAAACATTACTACTTCCTACACCCAGCTCTCATTATCAAAGTCCTGTTTTAAGAGGCACGGGGGTGAAACACCGTCAATTTCCAGGTCGCAAGCTGCTACTGACGACCATAAGACCAACGAGACAGTTAAGTTTTTTGAGTGGCATTGCCTCATAAATAGAAAAAAATCTACCGTGCTAAATCATCGCGCTTGTATTTAGTTTGGTTATAGAGTACTTTTCGATTATCCTTTAAACACCATTAAATAACACGGGACTTTTTTTAACCTATATGTAAGCCAAGTGTCGTATCTGTTTAACTTGCTGCCTCCGTCAGTATCAAATTACTTGGCATCGACATATCGAGTGACTTTCAGTTCCGCAGTCACTTGAAAGGGAAGTGATTTTTAATATTGAAACGAAGTTCCTTATCACACTACGAAAATGGCGGATGGGCTTAGGCGAGAAAAAGTGTAAGATTTTTCCGCCACGACCCCTTCTGATATAGTGTAGACGGCCTTGGCGGCTATAAGGAACCGAAATATTATTTTATTTTAAATGACGCTTCATTTTAATAGACGCTAGTAATTCATTCATTTTTATTTGATAATCAATAATATAATACGTTTATCAATAATAATATACTACAAAAGGAACATCGTTACAACCGAGTGTTCCACGACACTCACGCGATTATTTATTCTTAGAAAGAGTGTACATTATTTACTCTTTTTTGCCAAACTGTAAGCCCGTTTGTTGGCCAAAATTGATCTGAAGAATTGTTTGAATTATTTCCAGTAGCTCATTTGTCTCCTATTCTATAAAAAAAAACGAGAATCTGAAGACAATACCACCCAGTGATAATTGGTATTGAGTCCTAGATGGTAGGTAAGTTGCATCGTCTTAGCATAACACAAGTCTGTTCACTCTTGCCTTGAAATCACCCAGATGTCATCGGACAGAAATACAGAAAGACAATCCTTTTCTATACGCATTAGGCAGACGAAGCAAACTGTTTCGAATGCTTGGAATATCGACAACAAAGGTGTGGAAAGGAGCCTATTATAGACTGTCTGTTTATCTGATGGTAGAAAGGAGAAGGAGAAATTAAATTATATCATTACTGCGCACAGTACACACGATGGAGAGATGGATTTGAACAGCATAAAGACTGATGTTTAGACAAAACGTCGCCAAAAGATCAGTCTATGAAATATTCACTGTTAAATAGACAAATTGGCGACTCTAATACGAGTTATCTTTCTTGACACGGTTACGATTCGCATTTTTTCATAACAAGTAAAGCTGGAATATGAGCATGCAGTCTGCTCCTATACCACCTTTACTTGTTACATCATTGCCACTATCCGTGGTTAAGAATCAAAAATGCAGATACGTTGTCACTCCTGAAAGACAAAGATATAATATTTCTTTGCCTTCAGACCGAACTTCTTATAATATTTGTCTTCAGACCTAAGAACCAGTTAAAAATGAATAGGATCTCGGTCACTTATTATACGAAACACAACAGCATTGTGCAGCTATTTTATGCTGGTAATTTTTGAAAACGTTCTTACTTGGTTGAACTGATCTATTCATACGGCAGCTTAATACAGCCGCAGCGACGTTTAGCCACGTAAGAAGCTATAAGTGGTCATTTATTCATCGTTAGTCAACGTGCTATTATGGTAGTGTGCGTGCATGCCAACGCGTTTAGCCGTGAGCAGTGTGTTTACTCATATATATACCAAGACCACGGGGCGGTTACACCGCCAACTTCCTGACTCCGGGCTGCTACTGAGAATTACTTGTCAGATAAACCTAATAACTGCTTGATCAAACAAAAAAAAGAGCGGAGAGCCAAAACAACTGCTATTTATAGAGACAGCAGTTGTTTTGGCTCGCCGCTCACTTAGCGGTTAGCCACCGTAGAGTCTATATCACCTGAGGATGCCTCGTGTAAAGGCGAAACACGTGTCGTATTGTGGTCAGTGGTGTGTCTTTCCTAGTGTAGTGGTGTTGGGAGTAGTGGTGCTGGGATTAGTGGTGACGGGGATAGTGCACGCAATTGAGGGAGTGCGGAAGGTGTTCTTCAAACTAGGTAAGACACGTCATTTTATTTTGTCGAGCGGATGTACGCAAAGTAATTTTTTGCCAACTTTAATATAATGGACTTCCGCAAAGTAACGCCTGATTCTATTAATTATAACCTTAACATTCCTCAAACAGTACAGTTTGTCACAGTTCCCTTTTAGAATACCAGCATAAAATAGCAGCTTAATACTGCTGTGTTTGTATGGTGAGTGTAGAAAACCGGAGACCCTTTTTACTGGTAACGAGGAATTGCATCTGAGTCCTCAGGGATAACAACGCGTCTGCATTTTGATTCTTACTTAAGAATAGATGTAGATGTCTATGGGCCACAGCATCCACATACTAAAAGGTGAACTGTGTCCTCGTTTGTCCCCTAATTTTATAAAAAAAATGCACTTGCTAGATGGAATAGTGACTCTAGCATGATATTTGTCTTACACCTTTATAAATGCTGCCTTCTGAATAATTATTATATAATATATATTATTAATATCATCAGGTTGTAAATGGACATTGAAGCAAGTGCGCCGGGCACTAATAGGTCGGTGGGGTGCGGTGGAATGGCTCGTATGGCAACGCATCCGAGCCCTTGTAACCCTCACCCTTCTAGCGCAAGCAGCCGGCACTCCTCCCGCAAGAAACTGCTTCGAGTTCTACGGATTCGATGTGCTTCTTGACGAATCTATGAAGCCTTGGTTACTTGAGGTATTTTTTATATATTTAGGTATTTTTATATAAAGTCTTACGCAGTAAGATCTTGTCAAAGCGATGGCCTAGATTGTTTAGAGAGTAACGAGTACCAGTGACCACTTTACTGGTAAAGAAACATTCTCTCAAGAGTGATAGCTTATTTATGTGATGGTTTCTAATCGATGATAGATTTAGGTGTCAATGGAACACAGCATTCCACCATGCAGTGGACTGTGAGCATGTTTGTCACCTTTTGCTTCTATGACAAAAGTGTTACCAGATCGGGTCGAAACTTATACAGGACCACTGTGAAAATACATAATATATTCTTTCGATAAAAAAAAATTGCATAATCAGTTAAATTCTCTTAATCAAAGTCAAAGTGAATATAAAATATATGTGCTGATGATAATACTGGTGAGTCGTACCCATTTTATTATAATTCTGGTGCCGAATGAGAGAGCCTCATCAAAGATTTTGTTGCGCCAAAGTTAGAATTAGATGTCATAGTTGATGACAGCGGTAGCGAAACCAAATCTAATTAAGAATGGCTCATCATACTCGGAACCTTAGACCGCACCTCATGAGTAACATGTGGCGATGGGTCTGTAGGAAATCGTTGGTGCAATTTCTGTCTGTGTTGGTGCACAGAGCGTTTCATGTGTTGTAGCACATATTGCGTTAGATTTTCGAGAATCGTTGGTGCGATTCTTGTCTGTGTTGGTGCATATTTGGCGGCAGATATGTAGGGAATCGTTGGTGCGATTCTGGCATATGTGGCGGCAGATGTGTTGTAGCATATTTGGCGGTGGATATGTGGAGAATCGTTGGTGCGATTCTGGCATATGTGACGGCAGATATGTAAAGAATCGTTGGTGCGATTTTGGCTACTACTACATATTTTGACTACAGGCACTGGAATCAAGGACGAATGCTAGTCAGATGGCCGTGTTGTGGATTGATGTCGCCATAGTGCAACAAGCAGCGCCGTCTAACAATTAATTTTGCGAACTAATAATATGTACCTGCTCATGTTAGGACGGACGAGCGGACGAATTAGTGGACTAGTAGTGTTGGTTACAGGAATGCATGAAAATACACGCCCGAGGACGGTCGTACGTCAGGATGGCCGTGTCGAGGCGTCTATAAAATACCCGGTTGGATCGAGGTGCAATGGAGGGTATATCGAGAAATCCCCTCTTGTGACTGTAGTATAAAGGCTTTTAGAAAAATTTAATAAATTTTTCTAAAAGCTTTTATATAATGGATTTCCGCAAACTAACGCCTGATTCTATTAATTGTAGTATAAAGTTCACTGTAGGTGCCGTGCGCGAGAGATTCCACCTAAGTCGTTCAACGAGTGAGGTCACTCTACTTACTAGTGGTGCTAAGATAGTGTCGTGGTTCTGTTCGTTGTTGTAATTCTTCTAGTGCAGGCAAGGAGGATTGGTGTTGCTAAGTGGCTGCTCTGTGTTACATTGAGATAAGTAGTGTTGCTGTTGGTTGATATATTTTGGTGTTATCATGTAATTACGTACCTCACGTTACACTGGTGTGTGATTGTGGCGGAGACGTGTTACGATGTGGTCGAACTGTAATTTCGCTATACTGAATGTATAGTGCGTTACATTGGCTCATTACTGATAATGATTAATTGCGTAAGCAAAAGAGCAAGTTGAACATCCGCTCTCACACTTTTATTATTTTTAACAATTAATGCTATCCTGATATATTTCTGAGACCACAAAGTGGAATCCTTTGTTGAATTCTCCGACATCAGAAGTGGGATCTCCTCTTGTCATTTCCGATAAATATAATAAATTATTTAAGCTCTATTGAAAAAAAAAGAAAGTTTTTAGGTAAATTTATCACCAGCTTTGGCAGCGGATTGTGAGGCTGACGTACTGGTAAAGCAGCCTATGTTGCACGAGCTTTTTGATTTGCTTGGACTTCCAATGCGGCACACCGGTCTCTCGCTTCTGCAAGGACCTTCCACGCAGTTAGCCAACGGGTAAGATGTCAAGTTTTTTTGTTAAAATTAAATAGGGCTTGAGGGGAGTATATAGTGACGGCGTAAGAGAATCCACTATCTCATATAGTCACGTAGGTAAGAGGCCACAGAAAGAAACTGATACAAAATATGGGCAGTGGTATCTTCCTTATAAAAATTAAATAATAATGAAAAATGGCAGTAGTCAACTCGCCTGCCAAGCATGGAAATTATGGCAAATCTTTCATGTGGAAATCTTTGTGCCAGTACTGAACTTTTTACAACTTACGAGTATCGATAATATGTATAAATAAAAGTAGGTTTAGGAGGTTAAAACAACACAGAACAAATACAGAAGCAGCCTGACGTTTCACTGCTGAACACGGGTTTCCTCTGATTTTTTAAGTTTATTGGAGTTTCCTCAATGAGTTTCCTTACTACCGAGCACTTGGTAAAGCAGTTAGTACTTAAAATCGCTTTTAACAATATCATTAGTGCTGGCGGGGATCCGACGTTCTATTATGTATGTGTGCCTTGTGCTGCCACGACTCACTCTGAGGTTCTGGAGATAGATAAAAATACATACATACATAAACACTCACGCCTGTCACCCAGAGGGTAGGCAGAGATTATGGACTTCCATTTGGCACGATCCTGACACACCTCTCTCGCTTCCTCCACATCCATATACTTACGCATACACGCTCGTCGGTTAAAGGTACTCTTGATATGGCCCATTTTTAATATATCGCCAATTTGGTCGATAAACTTTCGCCTAGGGCGACCCTTCCCGACTATGCCGTTCACCTCTGCAACATAGATTTGCTTTGTCACTCTTTCCTCATTCATTCTTTCTACATGGCCAAACCACCGAAGCATTCCTTTCTTAATCCCGGTCACAACATCATCTTGCAAACCACACTCTTCTCTTATTAAACAATTTCTCACTCTGTCATTCAGCTTCATCCCTAACATACTCCTTAATGACCGCATTTCTACAGCATTTATTCTACTCTCATGCTTCTTCTGCCACACCCAACTTTCACTACCATACATTAAAGTAGGTACTAACACAGCATTGTGAATTGCCATACGTGCCTTTTTGGACACATTCTGACTTTTCACAATAGAGTGTAGAGCCCCATTCACTCTATTTCCTGCATTCACTCGTCGTTCTATATCCTTATCATATCTACCATCCCTGCTAAACACACATCCCAAATATACAAACTCATCTACTTGCTCTACCAACTCCCTTTCTATTCTTATTTTACATATCGTTTTGCTGTCTTCTCTTTCAAAAACCATAACTTTCGTCTTACTTGCGTTCACTTTCATTCCCTTTTCTTTTAATGTCCTGTTCATTAATGTAACCATCATTTGCAACTCGGCTGCCGACGATGCAAGTATGACTTGATCATCGGCGTACAAAAGGCATTTGACGGTTAACTCACCCATTCTTAACCCGCATTCTTCTACTTTCAAATTTTCCAAACAACTGTCCATAAATAGGTTGAACAACCACGGGGAAGCCACACAGCCCTGTCTGACACCTTTATGGATGCCAAACCAGTCCGAGTAGGCCCCGTTGATCCTGACACAAGCACTAGAGTCCCTATATAGAGACTTCAATGCCTGTATCAGACCAGCGGTCTGATACAGGCATTGAATTGAATAGATAAAAATATCTTTGCGATATCATAATAATTATTATTAAAATTTTTGTTGTAGCTCAGAGGATGAAGAGGGTACGGTACGTGAAGTATCATCGCGTGTTGAGACTGCAGGAACCCGCCGTGGGCCTCGATGGCGACGTCGTCGTGCCCTGCCAATTCACTGCGTCACATTGCAAGCGCCAATGGCTGACAAGTACACGGTAAGAAACTAAGAAGTAAATTGTTATTTTTCTTGTCTATGATTTGGGATAGCACACGTACTTGACACCGAAGAATCGTTCACCAAGGAACCGAGTAAAATAAGGACATGTGTCTATAAATCGCAAATGAAGATGAATTTTCACTAAGACAAAAAATACGCAAGTTTAAATTTCATAATATTATAATAGGCTTAGTAGATATGAAAAAAAGAAAGAACAAGTTAGATGTCTTCTTCTTTGTTTTTTTTTTATCAATATGTAAAGCCCAGAAAATGTATTATAAATCTGAAATTAATAAATAACTTACAGTTCACCTATTGGTAAGTAGCTTCCTCATAAAATGACCACCTTCACAACAGACAACACATACAGCCAACTTTGAAAAAGAAGGCTATAGATGAGTTGTCATCTCTGAGAACTAAGATGGAATGTTTCACCACTCACTATACCATTCAGACCAGAACACAGCAATGCAGGCACTGTTTTATGGTGGCTGAAATAGGTAAGAGGGTAGTATCTAATCAGATGGACTCTTAGACAGACTTACCTCCCGTTGACCCTTGCTACAAAGGTACAGGCCCATCTACCTTTGTAGCAAGGATTTGCCTTCATTGCCACACTTGGTTAGGCAGATTGACTCACCTTTGCGTTGGTAACCATCACTAGTCTGAGTATTTTACTACTGGTGCAAAAGAGATGTATTTATGTGGCGGCGCTGTCGTCGCGCCACAAGCGAAACACATCCAAGCCTAAATCGCGCTAACTAAGTTCCGAAATTAAAGCAATATATATAGAATAGCTCCGAACTACAACTTGGAGCGTTGGCCGCTCCCCGGGGAAGAACACCTTGCCCGGCGGGAGATCTCCCTTTTTCCTTCTACCCGCCACAGTGGTGACCACCCGACGTGATACGAACACGCAACCAACAAACCTTCGGAAACTACACCTTCAAACCTTCATCATCCTCAAGTACCCCATTCATTCGCCCCCGAGCTGATATTATCTGCAGTCTTCACATCCTGCAAGCCATCTAGCTTTATAAAGGTTCATCGCAGCACTGGAATAATAATGCTTCCTGTTCCTTCAAGCTATTCTCTGCGCTACAGTGTTCGGCACGGCTCTGAGTCTTACTGCTCGTCTCTGCTTCACGGCACTCTCGCCGATTACTTGCCTTCTTCTCGACTCACCGCAGACTTACAAGGCAATACCCTGGCACTTACAAATTCGTCATCTGGACTGCACTGTCGACCTCAGATCTGAGCAGAGGGGGGTGATGTGGCGGCGCTGTCGTCGCGCCACAAGCGAAACAAATCGAAGCCTAAATCGCGCTAACAAAGTTCCGAAATTAAAGCAATATATATAGAATAGCTCCGAACTACCACTTGGAGCGTTGGCCGCTCCCCGGGCAGAACACCTTGCCCGGCGGGAGATCTCTCTTTTTTCTTCCACCCGCCACATGTATATACATCTCTTTCAAAAGTCATAAGATCTTTCTAGCGTTTTCAATGGCCGCTTCTAATGACACTTACGGGACGAAATGGTGGTTATGGATTTCTTACGCTGCCACCGCTGGGCAAACAGTTGTAAGATAATCTAAAATAATCTCAAAAGGAATAAAGTAAAAGATATTGATGTCAATATCAAAGATTTTTACTAATTAATTTACACAATATAATATGATCATTTTTATATAATCATTTATTTTTCACACATACGTTGACTAATATAACGTACTCAGTGCCAAAATTAGGACAATTAAAGTTCGAGAACTGTTATTAAATAAATTGGCAGAATTATTTTATGTCCGTATTTATTTTTTACAAATTTGTATTTATTAATAGGTACTTATTTTAGATCTTTGAACCTATGAAAGTGATGTGTTTTAAGAAATAAAGAAAAATATTTTTTTCTATATTTTTTAATTCTGTTAATCAAAGTTGTAATGCAATCGATGCATCTTTGCCAACGCAGTGACAGTTTATTGATGCTCTACTTGAAGAAATCAGTTGGACGGAAGGCAAAAAATTCTTCAAAGGCATTTTGTACAGCCTCTCGGGTATTGAATTTTTGCCCGCCAAAAAATTATCCAAATTCGGGATAAATTAGAAGTCTGTAGGCGCAAGTACTGGTGAGTACGGTGGATGACGGATAGCTAATCCCAGCTTTTATAACTTGGAGACCGTCTATTGTGAAGTATAAGGTCGCGCATTGTCACGCAGGAGCAGCGAGGACGAGCGATTGACCAAAACTGGTTGGAGACGTGCGAGCTTCTCCATTTTGTGTTCAGTTCTTCACAGTACACATTTGCAGTAATGTTTATCCCGCTTGGTAAGATACTGCCGGCGCTAGACCACCAAACAGTGACAATTACTTTTCTAGGGGTAAGTATTCGTTTAGGGCATTTTTAGGAGCTGAACCAGGATCCAACCAACCAGCTGAGCACTTGCGATTGTCAAACAGAATCCATTTTTCTTTTAGGTAACAATGCGGTTCAAAATTTTTTCGTCTATTTCGCCTATTGAGCAGTGCAAGACATTTCGACGCGTACTTTGCGCTGGCGATCATCGAGTTCGTGGGGCATACGTTTTCAAGCTTTTTTACCTTACCAATTTGACACAAATGGACCAATATGTTTTGATGCTAACATCGAAAGTTACTGCTAATTCAGCTGTAAATTGTGTGTCATCAGCTTCAAAAATCGCCTTTAATTATTCACTGTTGACCAAAGCTTTTGAACGAACACGTGGTTAATTTTTAGATCGAAATTTCCAGAACAGAAGCGCGCAAACCAATTACAGGTACCTCGTTCGTTTTTAGTATTCATTCCGTAAACGTCGTGAATGTTACGTGGTGCTTGTGTCGCGTTGCTGCCACGACGGTACACATATTTAATAATTACCGTAAAACGGGTTAAATAGAAATCGCGGGGTGAATAGAGCCAAGTCTGGTTATTTGATAAAGTTGTCTCTAGATTTGTCTATAGCTCGGGAACATCTGTTTATTACTACTGTTTGTTATTTGCCAACATTTTTCCTTTATTTTGGTAACCTTTAAATTAGTGTCAAGTTTGATGACAGTAAAGAAAAGGGCGGTTATTATAAACGTGTGAGTACAAGTGGTTTTATGCTGCTTAAAACTTTTAGTTAAACATCAAGTTCTTCAGTGTTTCCTTGTTGCAATTTTTTTTTATGTAGGGAGTTGAGTTTCTCATCTATCATTAATACAAATATGTACATCGATATTAAACGACTTTATTCTTTTAAAGACTGAGGGGTGAATAAAAACGAAGAAAGGGGTGAATAGATACGAATGAGGGGTTATTAGAAACGTAAAAGGGGTTAATAGAAACGTCATTTTTAGGGTTGTCAACAACTATTTACCCGATTTACTTACTACATCAATTAATTTTATGTAGCTAATAGAAACTAAAATAAAAAAAAACGTTTAAACCATTTTAAAGGTATTTAAAAGTCTTCTATTATAAATGTATAATTTTGATATTTGTTAGTACATTAAAATTCCAAATACTATATAGGTTTTACCATTACACCAGACAGAAGTTCCTTTCTTTTCTTTCTTTCTTTCTTTCATTGTTGAAGTCCTCCAGTAAATATACTTAGTGTGCTCATATGATTTAGTTCTATTTATTAGGAAAACATATCATTCATAATATTTGTATTTTATTGTTTAACAGAGATGCTCGGTATACTAGTTAAAAAAGTATCTAAGCGGAGCAGAATAGGTATGACGCGAGCTATCGCTTTAAGTCTTGCAATTATGTCATTGAGGGCATCCACGACTTTTTCTGCAACCAGGGCGGCGCCACTAGAAAGTGAGGTATAATATTTGACAGATTTCATAGCGGGGAAGTTAAGTTGTTCGGAAAATGTAAAAGTTATTGTTTCTTATGGTACTATTAGCTATATTTTATATTAATACCATTCAAAATAAATGAACCAAACCACAGATATTCATAAAACTAGAAATCTTAAAAAAATTTAAGAATGTGCAAAAAAAAATAACTGACGCATTGTTTTGTGTATTAATATAATACTCTAGAAACTAATAAACTTTTATTAAAAAACAACTTCTCAATTAAATTACATTGAGTAACAAAAAACTTTACCTCAGTGTCAACTGGCGACATCTGGTGAGCAGAAAATTACTAGCACTCATTGACTTCTGTTTAGTGCTTACATAATTGTATAAATAAGTAATAGTGATTTTTGATCTCGTCTTGTTATCTACAACTTTAAATAACGAAAGGTTATTAATCAAAACACGTATTATAATATTAGTTTAACAAACTTTGCAAATTTTTTTAATTTTTATTATTTAAAAAAATTAAATATGTTCAAAACTATGTAAGCAGTGGCTTATTTATCTAATGACTTTATGTCGAAAATGCTTACGCTGCAAAACAGTCAAATTACATTACTCTTATATTATTAAAGTTATAACACATACACATAAACACTCACGCCTGTCACCCAGAGGGGTAGGCAGAGATTATGGACTTCCATTTGGCACGATCCTGACACACTTCTCTCGCTTCCTCCACATCCATATACCTACGCATACACGCTCGTCGGTTAAAGGTACTCTTGAATTGGCCCATTTTTAATATATCGCCAATTTGGTCGATAAACTTTCGCCTAGGGCGACCCTTCCCGACTATGCCGTTATAATATAGAATTGTATAAATATCAGATTTATTAACTAATTATTTTTTATAATGAGAATTTTAATGTAGTTATGTTTTCTTTCATTTGACTCAGAAGCTCACAAGTCACAACCTACATACTACAACAGCAAATTTCACAACCCTAGCATTTTTTCTCTATTCACCCCTATGTCGTATCTATTGACCCCGGATTCCCGATATATAGAAATAGACTAATTCTTAGCCAAAGACTACTACTATTACGAGTAACTTCCTGCATCGCTTACCAGATTATCACTCCGTATACGAGTACCACCGCCGATTTTTCCGGACCGATACGACTTAGGGACCTTTAAGAAAAGAGCCTACTCCTTTGTAAAAGGCCGGCAACGCATCTGCAATTCCCCTGGTGTTGCAGTTGTTCATGGGCGGCGGTAGTCACTTACCATCAGGTGAGCCGCATGCTCGTTTGCCCCCTCTCGAAATTAGCACATTAGTTTAACGCCAACAATTTTCTCGGCAAAACGGCAATAAGTCAAAATAATAAATAATGTTAAACATTCAAACACCAATGTGCTCTTTAAATGGGGAAGAGTTGAGTCTTGTGGATACCACTGTTTTTCTTGGTATTACTATTGACGCGAAGCTTCAATGGGGCCTCCATATATCTAAATTAGCAGGCAGACTTAGTTCTACAGCATATGCTGTAACAAAGATTAGAAGTCTCACCAATGTTCAAAATAGTTCTTTGAGCTATATATCCGGCGCCTAGTCATAAAGAGCATTGTTCTACCTCGTATAAATATAGATGAGTTACCTATAGAGAGATTTACCTAAGAAAACTCTAAGAGACGCTGAGAGTTTGGCTTATTAAGCTATACGCCAAAAAATAGTAAAAAGTATTGATTGGCGAATATTGTTCCACAAATCTTCAGTTTTCTGAACATAAAAATATATATTTCTTTCAGGATATTAGTGATAAAAACATTGCAATGGGGAGTTTGTATAAGTCATCGCCAGAGACAGCTTCAGAAAGTTCCGATTCTCAGGTAAGTCTTATATATATTTTAAATAATAATAAACTGACAATTTTTAAATTAAATTTCTTCCCCACCTTCAAGTCCGTTATTTTTAGAAATGTTCATTCAACTATCTGTTGGATGGCAAAAGTTCTCTTAAACATTTCTTTTATTGATATTTTAGTTGTTTTCCAAATAAACCTCAAAGGAAACTCTCCGAAAACATCACAACATTAATTTCGTTTTTTAATATTTCTTAGTAAATTTAATTTTAAAGTGTTGTTATGAGAGATTATAAAAGAAGTATATGAAAGGAAAAAGCTAGAAGGAACATAAAAGAATGATAAAATCATTGACTTATATATACTACTAGTGTATAGAATACTATCTGGTTATTTCCAGGCAAATGTCAAAATGTTCTGGAAACTCGTTAGTTACTGCCATAGAATAGTCAGTGTAGCCAAAAACTAATGCTGTGCGGGACGGGGGAAAATGGCTGTATTTTAAATTACGAAGCTTTAATTTTAAAGAGATGAAAGCAATACTTTGAAACCGTGTTTAAGTAAGAAGAGAGATAAATAATGAAAGCAATGGAAAGTATGGATGAAATAATCAAAACAGGGCAAGATAACTGAGACTGACAGAGTATCATTAAATATGCTTAGGCTTATCATTAAATACGCACTGATGATGCTACTCCCTATCATCTTCCTTCTTTCTATAGAATATAGGTTCGAAATTTAAAAGGGATATACGACTTGTCGATCGTCAGATCCACGTTATTACATCTCCCTAACACACCTAATTTTTACGCATAATGGCTATTAAACAAATTAATCTTTTAAAATATATTTTACTTAGTCGACATCTGGTACGGTTCTTACGGCGTCGGAATGTATGGACGAAAGCTGGCGAGGAGGGTACGCCACAGCGGCAAGCCGTAAGAGAATGATCAGCGCTTGCACGTGGGGGAATGGTGTGCGTTGGGATCGTGGGATAGGACGCGTCGGGCAATGGGTTCGGATATACCCCCATACACTGCCTGACGATGATCAAGTAAGCGGAGTTTTTTTAACGTATTGTGTTGTGTTTTGATGCAAGTAATGTCGCACATACAAGTTTATAATAAGATACTTAGAAACATTACGTAGATGTTTCAGGGAACAATGTTTTGAGGATTTAACCATCCACGTCATTATAGCGGTTATAGCGTCAACAATTACAGCGAGCATGTAGCCTGAGGAAGAAGGGCTGTTAGGTGTTGTATTTCTTTAAAAGCAGTGACCTCTACTAAAGAAAAGAAGAACATGGTTTCGTAATTGTCTTTTAAGGCAAACAAAACTTGTGATTTCCGCATGTCTAACGTCTTTTTATTTTAATTTTATATTCTTTAAGCGTGCTATCCCATAAAACACGCTTTTTGCTTTTAATTTTCTATTAATTCAAAAGTGTTTCTTAGTCCCACACTAACCCTATTCGTAAACAATTTAAACATGCGTCCACACGTCGTTGCGAACAACATTTTTTTTGCTTGTCCAAATTGTCAGTGGGAAGTACGGCAACTTCTTTAAATTGTTATTTTATTTATTATTATATATATTATATTATATATTAAATTGTTATTGTTAAAAACCTTACATGTTGTATCCTAAGCAGTTTGGAATATTTATGAATCATAATTCATTTAACATTAAACGGTATAGTTATACACAATTGGTTCCCAGTGACTACATGGTGTTTATGTAAATGAAATGCATGAAAAATTGTTGAAAATAATTGTAAATAACCTTATTTGTGTTAAATGTGCTAGACTTGAATATTGAGGTGGTTTTTCTTTATTGTTAGCTCCCTATTGGGTTTTATGTTTCCTTTCCATTTACAACACTATAATAACGTTAGCATTACTAGATATAAGTATATGCACCTAGCCCGGTAGTAGGGAGCTTGTTCTTGCGAAGAAGAAGTGGAGTCATCATTCTTGATAACATCCTTGAGGAATAATCCTGTGAGGAGTGAGGAATAAGGCAATTGTATCCAGCTTTTTAGCACAGCATTTTTTTATAGAAGTACAAATTTAAAATGTGTCAAACGAGAGCACAGTCAGTACAGTCTATCTGATGCTAAATGAATGCCATGGCCCAAGGTATATATATTCTCGACTAAGAATATAATGCAGACACATTGTTTCACCTTAGAAATAAGAGGAATCCTTCGTTACCAGTAAAAAGTGTTCTCGTCACTCAAACATATGAAAAAAAGGTATTATTATGCTGCCGTTCTTCACTGATATTCTGTGAGAACATAGTTCTTCCACAGTCGAGCCGACGCATTCAGTGACCATTTAGTAGTATAAAATACCATACAGCTTATCTCCGATCTTATTACATTGCGGTGCGTTAAAAATAATGAGTAAAATAATGCAACTTGAATATTAACTTGGACGATTTTATTCTTCTCACGACTTAAATGAGATGGTAATAAAATATTGCAACTACAACGAACCTGCTTAAAATTAACATTATCTATTGACGTATAATTACTAAAATTACCTACGTTGTTTGACTCGTTGCTCAGAAAGAACTCTTTTTTGTAATTTTCCGTTCTGGATCACAATTGGAGCTGTTTTATAAACTACTACATTCTCACTTACATCTTGAGTGTTCGTTTTATTTTGTATGATATTGAGTGCTCCAGTGTATTTGGTTTTTAGATATGAAGCATTTGAATATTGTGTCGATAGTTGTTCTAAATTATTAAGCATATTCGTTTCGGCATCATGTATGAATTTATGCATTTCAAACTTAATACTAGTTTGGTCTATCTTAGGTAACTTAGTTAGTCACGCAGCTAATAGTTGTAGGTAAGTGGTCAGGAGAACATAACAGGTTTTAGGTCTTTAAGATTATTTTAAATATATATTGATTGAGGAATTATTAGTTTTAATTATATGCTCCATTTTAATTTAAGCAATTATCGATGGAAGATGCGAGAGAAAGTGTGGCTCACGTATCAAAGTTAATACGGGCGGCGAGGGAGGTGGTGAAAGAAAGCGGGCGTGATATCCGCGCCCCCCGGGACAGCGGACGAGATACTGCCTTCGAGGCCTCGCTTCGAAAGAAGCTTGGTTATGGATCAAACTTCGAAATGTGGCTTCCTCCTTTCTAATGTGTTCAAATATTAATATTAAGTAATTGCTAAGTTTAACTTATTATATTAAATTACTTAATAAAGGCTTAATTATAGTTATAAAACTTGTCTTTTTTAAATAAAAAAATAATCATGTCCATCGTTATATAAATAGTGTAAAAATAAATATCTGATAGTTGTGATTCCATTTTGTTTAAACTATATATTGGCGGTGTAAGAAAATCAACTACCCCATATCGTCCAGAGTTCCTGAGGGTTTTATCAGAAAATGTAAACTAAAGCAATAAATGGGCAACAGTATCTTCCTGACAACAACGCAAAATTATAAAATAATTGTGGTTACCAACCCTCTTGCCATTTGTAGCAACTATAGAAAAACCCCTCCAATGCATCGACCTATGGGCGTGGCCTATGTTCAGCAAAGGACTTTATAGGCTGTATTGGATAAATAGTTATTAAATAAAATTGATTAACAAACGAAGAAAAGATTTTTATCAATTATGAAATTGATACCAACATGATAGTTTCAACGTATCTCTATACAGTCAATGATATGAACAAATTGGTATTTGAGATAAGCTTGGGCTTTTGATGTATAGATTAATGGTATGAAATAAAACTATATCAGGCATGAGGGTGTTATGTGGTAGAGACAAAAACTCTTAAAAATCAATTTATTTAATACTTTTAAACTAACTTTTAAAATATAGTAGTTGATACAGAGAACTTGGGAATGGAATTGTATTGAGAGATCGAAAGATTTGGTTTAAATAGTGTAGGGAGCTAGGAGGTGGAAGTAAAGGGAACAACATTGTTCTTGGTATTATCGTTAACTAATTCTAAGAATTAGGAATGGTTAACTATAAACATTGGCATATAATATTACAATCTAATTAGTTTGGCTTCTAAGCAAGTAAATAATATGATTTAGATTTTAAGTAAATAAACAATATAAAGTATACAGGTCTTATAACATAAAGTAAATAGTATCTTATGACATGACATTAGTTTGGCTTCTAAGAAAGTAATTTAGCTTTTAAGTAAATAATAGTTGTCGTCGATGGCTGCTCATCCGGTACTGTGACAACTAACGCTGGTGTTCCTCAGGGGTCCGTTCTCTCCACAACTCTCTTTCTGCTACATATAAATGATCTGCTCATTCCCGGTGACTATGGGTATGCAAACGACAGCACAGTTGTGGAGAGATACCAACCAAGCGCCCGGGCCAGTCGGGATCAAATCCAGTCCGAAAGAGAGGCTATGATTGACCGTGTGAGTCTCACACTATAGGCAGTCTCCGAATGGGGCGATGCCAATCTCGTGAGATTCAACGCCTCCAAATCACAAGCGTGTCTTTTTACCGCTAAAAGGAGCCCGCTCACCTTGGTTCCTACTTTCCGGAATGTATCCTTGGAGTACACTGACCGCCTTCAGTTGTTAGGGATTGAATTTTCTCCGAACCTAATCTATGGGCGGTTCACTGAGTCCAGAGCCAAAGCAGCCGTAAGGAAACTTGGTGTCCTTGCAAGGGTGTGGCGGTACTTCACAACGGGGCAGCTTCTTACCTTATATAAAGCGCAGGTCTGGTCGTGCATGGCGTACTTCTGTCACATATGGGCTGGTGCTGCAAAATGCCACCTGGCAGCATTGGACTTAGTGGAGTGACGTGCTAAGAGGCTCATTGGTGACCTTGATTTGGTTGAAACCAATCTTAGTAGCCAGTCTCTCGGTATTTTGTAGGATGCATTTCGGTGAATGTGCGCAGGAATTACACGCTTTAATTCCTCCCTCTCCTTTCCACCATCGGACAACCAGGCTGTCGGCGGGTCTTCATCCCTTTGTTGTCGATATTCCACGCATTAGAACCAAACGCTTTGCTTCGTCTCTTGTAATGCGTACAGCAAAGGAGTGGAATAATTTACCGCCGTCCATTTTTCCGTCCGAATACAATCTGGGCGTCTTCAAGGCAAGAGTGAATAGGCTTTTGTTACGATAAGACAGTGCGATTTATCATCTTAAGGCTACATTACCACTTACCACCAGGTGAGATTGTGGTCAAGCACTGGCTTATAATAAGTAAAAAATAAAAAAATAAACAATATGAAGTATACAGGACTTATAACATAATATAAAGTAAATAGTATCTATGACATAACACCTCCCCCCTTAGAACAAAGGTTGAGCAGTTTTGCTCGATTTTAGAGTGTAGTCAGCAGCTTCATCTTCGTCTTCTGATATACAGAATTTTGTAGCAGTGGTGCTTAGTGATGATATGGGAATCTCTACGTGTTGTCGGCGACGAGAACGGTCAAAACAAATATTAAAAATTTGTATACAGTTACCATGTGAATATGTATGCATGTTATTCCATGGCAAGCATTTATAACATTTGTAACAAAAGTATGTTAGCACAATTATGCCAGTAATCGTACTTAATATGGAGAACTTTGTTACATGTTTTTCTAAAAATTTAGGTTTATTATCTACAAACAATTTTGTGTGAGTTTTTATTTGTTCTCTAACCGAGTTAAGAGAGTCGAGTTGAATGTTGTTGAGCAGGATTGGTGCAAGTTCTGGTTGTTGCAGCTTAATTTCATTTGGGACGCAAATGTGTTCAGTATCGACATAGATAAAAGGATGGCTAATGTTGATCGATTTTATGACCTCAGCTAGGAGTGTAACAAAGGCGGTGCACATTTTACATTCTTGTTCTAGAGTGGTGATACCAGCTCCAGAGATTTCACCGTGAGTCGTTTTGCTTTCGCATTCTAAAGCATGTAGATCCAGTTGTTGTTTCTAAGAGCTTGGAAAGTGTTAATATGTTGATATCCCAAACTTCAGGAACTTGTTGACACGTCGTTGTTAAGATGACAACTTCGCATATGGGTCTGGTGTTGACGTATTGCTGTCTAGTGGTACTCATGGCAAAATATGTTTGTTCGGGAAGGATAGTAGAATATAAGGAAGAGTCAGGACATCCTGATGTAGCATAGGGCAAAAAACGTGAAATTTACGTTATACCATTTATATTCTACGTGTAGACAGTGGTAGAGCCACGCGGCAGCTTTTGCTGTCGCACGGATGGGCCGGCTCGAACCGGGGTAGTACCACGACCTCACAGAAAACCAGCGTGAACTAGAGGTTTACCTCTGCGTTTCGCTTGGTGAGTGCAGGTGGCCGGAGGCTCTTTTTACTGGAAATGAGGCATTCCATCTTAGTCCTCACGGGTGACAACGCATCTACATTTTGATTTGTAACAGAGGATAGATGTAGATGTCTATGGGCCGCAGCAACCACTTACCATCAGGTGGACTGTGTGCTCGTTTGTCACCCTTATCCTATAAAAAAAATGGTATAATGTAAATTTTTCGTTTTTTACTAAAGGGAATTTTAAGATATATATATAATTTTATTCATATAAATATAGAAAGTAATAGAGGCAGATTCAAGTATTTTGTGTAAATTAGGTAATGCTATTGGGGCAACTAAGTTTTTATTGAGCCTAGCGGGATTGGAAGAGAGTAATTCTTTGTATAGGCGCATAGTGGATATTATAGAAGGGTGTATTACATATTTTGATTTAATGAAAAGTATGCTTGTAATGACATCATCGATATCTCGTTCCGGAGAAACTATAGCTTCTAGAATTTGAACTGAAACTGTGGATATTTCTTCAAGAATAGTTAAATTAAATAGAAGTTTGTTTATTGAGGTAAAGTATGAATTTATTTTTCTAATATCTTCGTTAATAACGTATCATCATAAGAGATTTTATGTAATGTTTCATTAAAATTCGTGATCGTTGAAGAAATAATTTGTTGTTGTTGTTTTAAGATATCATTAGTAGATATTTGCTGTTTCTCTAACTGTTCAATACATTCGTTATGTTTGGCATCTTTTCATCTTTATTGCATCTGGAACACCAATGAGCCATTTCAAAATTGAACCTAAGCCGTCTAGTATTTAGCGTTTGGATCGCTTGTTGTCAGTGTAAGAATTAAGTTCGTTGAGTCTAGAATCTATTCTGTTTATTTTTATAAATGATGTAGCAGTTATAACGGTAGGTAAATTTGAATGTGTGGTAATGAAAGATTGATCGTTTGATAGAGTTGCGAGCTAGGAATAAAGGTTCAAGATTACGATATATGGTCAATTTCCAGGAATTTTCAGATATTAATATTTTAACATTGTTTTCGAAATAGAGTCCAGAATTAGAAGGAATAGGATGTATGTGGGCATCCCCATCAAGAAAAGTTGTGGAGTACCTGAAAATTAAAATAAACCTAGTTAATTATTTTGACTTCTTTTAAATTTAGTTATATAATAATTCTTAGAAAATTGATAAAATTTGTATAATATGATGTAAAGTAATAATTAAAAAAAAAACAAATAGTAAAATAAATGTATGGGTTATTTATAAGATCCTCACGGATGACAACGCATCTGTTGCATTCTTTGTTTGAAGATAATTATTGTGTTACACTAGTATATATTATTATAAAAGAAAATTGAAAAATAAATAAAAACCGACTTCAAAGTTACAGGCGATAAAATAGTTTCCACTAATATCTTCTGAAGTCGGTGCTAAGACATAATGAGAAAATTATTTTATTTTTAACTCTTTTGAGGGGACTAAGTAATACATGTTCAAAGTAACAACGAGCAGCTGTCTAAATACATAGTTACATTAAAAATCTCATCCACTATTTTTCACCCTTAGTGGTGAAATATTTTTCTTAAAATTGACACGGAACAACCCCTGAAGTAAAACCTATGCAATAAAAAAAGATTCAATTAAATTAGATCAGTATCCGTGAAATCGATAACATACATAAAAAACAGACGCGTCGAAATTTTCGTTTTTTGAACGCGGTTGATAAATTGATGAATCTCATATGTAATTGGCTATTGTCAATAATGATCGCCACGAATCGAATATAGGCTGCTGCGTACAATGAAGTATAATACGTACAATGAATTGGCCGCCATGTTTTAAATGCATAAACATTCACAAATGC